AGAAATTTTAGTATGCTGTCTTATGATTATCATTTCATTTCATATAATTATTAGTGGTTTCTATGATTTGTTCTTTCATTTATTACTTGAGATTTTATTATTGTCTTCATTTAGGTTTGTGTCTTTTGCTTGTGCTCCCTACTTTGATCATCACCATTATTACATTATGGTCTGTAAAGGATATGTTTAGAATTTCTCCTTTTTAACATTTATTTGCCACTTCTCTGCTCTGTAATCAATAGTCTATTGTCACATGAAGCTAATTATGTATATATTCTCTAGGGTACCCATTGAGCAGAGGCCATAAATCTTTTATCTCCAAGTTCTCCAAGTTTGTTCAGTTTTATATTCTAATGATCTATTTGCTTCTCATTTTATGAATTTGTTTTCATTTTCAATACTGGCAATTTGGTTTTCTTCATTTCTTCTGATAAGATTTTTGGCTTATCCGTTTTATTCGGTTTTTTGTTGGATTTTTTTTTAAATCAAAAACAAACTCCTAGTTTTATTTATCAATTTGATATTTTAATTTGTGCTTTCAAGTTTGCTTATCTGTTCTTTGATTTTAATGGTATCTATTTTTTGTGTTTGGTCGGAGTTTTGAATCTTGCTTTTTTTTTTTTTTAGTCATACACCTAATACATTGGTCTGTTCTTTTTCTGTTTTGTTGATGAAAGTGTTTAGAGATGTAAATTTCCCCATAAAAACTACTTGGGTTGTATAACAGAAGTATAAATTTAGAGCTGTAAGGGACCCTAGAGTCCATCAAGCCCACCCCCAACTCTTCATTTTAATGATGTTAAAGATGAGGAAACTGAGGTTGACAGAAATTAAGTGACTTGCTAACTCACATAGAAGTATGGAAGACAGACTCTGAACTCAGGTCTTTTAACTCCAAGCCCACAGTGCTTTATCTCCTGCAGCATCCGTCAATTGTGGTCATTTTATTAGACCCATTATTTTTATGACTTGTTTTCTGACCCATATAGTCTATACAAATAATTTAGTTCCATTAAACTCTAAATTCTTTCTTCAAATGCTCTTTGTTGATTATGATTTTTATTGCATTGTGGTCAGTAAAACATGCAATTAATAATTATTGAATTTTTTTTTATTTCTTTATGAAGTTTTTATGTTCTAGAACATGGTCAATTTTTGTAAAGATGCAATGCAAATCCATGAAATATACATATGTCTTTTTATCCCTATTCAGACATTATCACAGATCAATCATGTCTAATTTTTCTAAAATTTTATTCCAGTCATTAACTATTTTTCTTTTTATTTTATTGTTAGATTTGTCTACACCCGAAAGAAACTTATGACTCCCAAATATTATGTTTTTTCTGTCTCTCACTGTAATTTGATTAATTTTTCTTTGGTGTATAATGTTATGCTGTGTGTGTGTGTGTGTGTGTGTATAATTTATTGATATTATTTCATTATCCATAGTGCTTTTGGGTATAATGTAGATTCTCTGCTATTCTATTTTAGCTATGTTTATTTTTACTGTTACCTTTTCTGAAACCATGATGTTCACTCTAGCTTCTTTAAGTTCAACTGAGGCAGGACAAATTCTGTTCCCATCCATCATTTTAAATTTGTGTAAATCTTTATGTTTTAAGTGTTTTTCTTGTAAGCAGCACATTGTTGGATTCTGTTTTCTAATCCATTTCATTACAATCTTCTGTTTTATAGGTGGATTAATCCCATTCACATTCACAGTTAAGGTTGTTAATTATATTTTACTCCATTATAGTCTCTCATACATTTTCCTTCATCCCCTCCCCTATACCTTATTTACAAACCAGTATAAGAAGATGGTGAAAGGGGAGGAATTTGATCAACATTAATAGTAACATGCAAGGTGTCTCCAAAGTCTTACTGCAGTTTTAAACTATTAAAGCTTAATTGTATAAGTGAAGTCAACTGCTCCTAGTGAAATGGCCTTCTCTTCACCTTGACTAGAGCATGATCATTGGTTTTTATATTTTATTTCTATTTGTTTTCTATTCATAAAGACATCCTAAGAAATTGTTTTTTTTGTGAATTTCTTACATCATCAACTCTATCCACCCTCTCAATATCCTCTCTTCTTCCCTTCCAGTCCCCCCCACTTATTTGCCAATTGAATTCGGGTATTTGTACATTTAGTATGTGCGTGTGTGTGTGTGTATTCAACCTTCCTCTGTCCAGTTAAGAAAAGTGAAGTTCATGTTGTTTATATATTCCTTTTCTTAAGCACCTCAATTAAGAGTAAGAATAAGTTTCTCAAGAGTGCTCATTAATCTGGAAATGGATAAACAAATTATGCTATATTAGTATCATATAATTATTACACTTACATTACAAAAGATACTGTTTCTGAGTAATCTGAAAAGATTTGTATGAACTGACAAAGATTTAAGTGAACAAAATCAAGAAAGAAAATATTGTTTAAAAAAAACTTCAAAAGGTTTCAGAACTCTAATCAATATGACTGTTGGGGGCAAGCTAGGTAGCACAGTGGATAGAGCGTCAGACCTGAAGTAAGGAAGACTCCTGTTCCTGAGTTCAAATCTGGCCTCAGATACTTACTAGCTGGGTGACTCTAGGCAAATCACTTAACCCTGTTTGCCTCAGTTCATCATCTATAAAATGAGATGGAAAAGGAATTGGCAAACCACTCCAGTATCGCTGCCAAGAAAACCTCAACTGTGATCACAAAGAGTCAGATACAACTGAAAAATGAACGAATAACAACCAGAGGATCAGTGATAAAGCATGCTATCCCGACAGAGGAGTGAAGGACTCCAAGTATAGAATGAGATATACATTTTTGGACATGGCAAATGTGTAAATTTGTTTTGATTAACTGTTTGTTTGTTATAAGGACTCTGTGGTGGGTTTTCCCCCAGGGGATGGAGGGATTGGAGAGTTAACAAGAGGGTTATATTGAAAAAGAAAAGAGGGTCATAGAAGATTTTTTTTAAAGGCACAAAAGATAAGAGAAGGAAGTTCAGAAGAAGACAGACAAGCAAGATAGCTTTAAAAGTAACATGCTGAATATATTATTTGCTTATTTTCTTAAAAGCCAAACGAAAACAATAGAGGTTAGTAGCTCCACATGTAATCCACTTTTTCGGTTCTATTTTGTATATAGAAATCTTAATTTTCCCTTTTCTGTTGTTAAATTCAAAATTTTTAAAATTGCTTTTAATTTTTTTCTGAAATAAATACCAAATAAAATGAGCATTTTGATATACACTGTAGAACAGAAAAGAAGGATTGTACATTACACAGCAACTCTCTATTATATATAGTTTCTTTTTTAAAAATATAATCCAATTATATTTTATTATAATTATAATATAGATTCAATTATAATAAATTATATAACACAATAAATTCCAAAAAAAGTTAAAAACTGTCCTCTTTGTCTGTGATTCCTTCTGGACTTCTTCCTTTCTTTTCTGTGTATTTAAAAAAAAATGCTTCAATGGCCCTCTTTTCATTTTCTTTTCTTTCTTTTTTTCTTTTGGCTACCCTATTACCAGCCCAGCTCTGTCTCTCACCCTTAGCAAAACTGGAAAATATAAGAAACATAAAAACTCATAAAACATGAATACTCAAACAAAAAAAAATACACACATTGCCCCTATCTAAAAATATATGTCTTATTCTGTTATCTTGAGTCCATCACTATAGGAGACAGGTAGCATGCTTCCTCTCCACTGCTCAGGGGCTATGGTTGGTCACTGAACTAATCGAAAGATCTCAAATTCTTAAGTCTTTCAAAGCTGTTTTTTGTTGTTGTTGTTCTTTTACCATGTTGTTATTTTGTAAATGGTTTTCCTGGTTCTTGTCATTTCACTCTGCATCAGCTGTCTTCCCAGATGTTCCTGAAACCATTTCTTCCATTATTTCTTTTTTTTTTTTTTAAGGCAATTGGAGTTAAGTGACTTGCCCAGGGTCACACAGCTATTAAGTGTCAAGTGTTTGGTCTGAGGCTGGATTTGAACTCAGGTCTTCCTGACTTCAAGGCCGCTACTCTATCCATTGTGCCACCTAGCAGCCCCCTCTTCCATTATTTCTTACAGCACAATAATGCTCCATTTCATTCGTATACCATAATTTGTTGAACCATTCCACAATTCATGTTTCTTACGCAATTTTCACTCTTTTTCTTTGTATATTGAAATGTTTATTTGTTGATTATTGCTACATTCACAATAAAAAAAACAAAATTTAAAAGAAAAAAACACTGGCTCTGGAGTCAGTGAATTCAAATTTTACCTCTGACACTTACTATCTTTGTGACCCTGGGCAAATCACTTAATTTTCCTGGACCTCAGTTTCCTAATCTGTAAATTAAGAGAGCTAGACCAGATGCCCTCTGAGATCTCTTCCAGTTTTAGCTCTGATTCTGTGAACTCACAAACTCTGTGTCCCCAGAGACTGAGGGAATGAAAATATTCCCAGATATTCTGTTTGGTGGCCACCACTCCCACATAGGTATTCTCTCCCCCAATTAGAATACAAGTTCCTCAAGGGCAGGGACTATTGTATTTGTATTCCCAACACTAAGAATAGTGCCGAGCACATAGTATGCACTTAATAAATATTTTTTCATTCACTTCTTCATTCCTTGAGTCATGGGAAAGAGCTGATTCAGCAAAAGCAGCATCTCCAAATATAAATGAAGACTACTGTACTTCTCAGTTAAATAAGCCTATTATAACAGTGTTCCTACAATGTGGTTGCCTGCCCATATGAGGTTGCCACATCAAACCAAGACCACCAACTTATTTCCCATAGCATACGAGACAGAAACAACTACTGACTTAGATAAAATATTAACAATCCCCCATCTCATTTTCTGACAGCTTATAAAATAATGGACTGATTTCCAATTTGACTAATAAAAGAGGTATTTAAAGGTTAGAAAAACATTCCTTTTTGGGTTTCTGAGTCCAGCATTAGTGCAATACATAAATAAGCAAAGAACACATGTACTGTACCTTCCTGAAGCTGTGTTGGTTTGGCAGAATTTTCCCCACTCATTAAAACAACAAAAGACGCAGCTGCTCGGACTGTAGCCTGCCATGTTGACATGGCAACTGGTGGCTCCTGGCATGGAAAAAGGGCCCTGTTGTTTATTGGGGATCCCATAGTATAAACACATGGCCTGAGGAAGAGAGAGAAAGAAAAGGTAGAATCTTCTAAATGAGGCATCCCTTTCTTTACTGCAGTATTCTTTACTGCTGTATTTTCAGGAATAACAGGAACGTTAGGTTGAGCTTTGTGGAGAAGGAGGGTAAGGAGGGGAGGGATTACTACAAAGTTTTGTGTATTATACATTTCAAGGCATGCACGGCTGAAAATGTCAACGGCACGCTTGGAAAGCTAGGTGGTAACCTTTTATTGTATCACTTGCTTAAATATGTAAAGGATTGGATAGTTTTTAGTGAGGTTGGGGGCAGGGGAGGGGTGGAGAAGGGAGAAGATATGGTGCATGTGTGTTTGGCTGGAGGGGAAAATGGATTTTGGATGAAGTTCCAAATAGTTATCTGCCAACTTCTAATTTATATTACTCTGGCCCCTCCAACCCCTATGCGTCAAATTATTTTTCTTAAAGAGCTTAGAAACATCCTTAAAAACCTTCTGGAAAGTATTCTGGAAAAAATGTGTTTGGAGGGCACCAAGGTATTAAATTTTTGGAAGAAGGAGCTGGTGGTCTAAAGTCCTGTTCCTGCAGAAGGACAGCTCCATCACAGAAACCACTATTCCAAACGGAACCCTTGTGGGTGAGTAATCCTTGCACTGGCGCCAAGAACTGAGATAGGAATATACATAGGATTATAGGCCATTACTGATTAACAAGTGGAACTGGAAATTTGTACTGTCAAAAATCAATGCAAGTCTAGGAAATTGATAGTATGATGCTACATTCATTCTGTTTCAATTTTAATAAAAACCAGTACATATAAAGAATTTTGCATATATCTACCAGGGTTAAAACAAGGAATAATCAATCTCCTCTTCAAAGATTAGTCATGCTTGATAGAAATAAAGAAGTCAAACGATCATGGGGTACATTCTCTTAGTAAGGGAGAGTAAAAGACAAAGCTGCATTTTGTGAAACTCATGTGGAAATATTTCTGTTACTTGGTTACCAGAAGCTACCAAAAAAACATAACATTATTTTAACAGAGTATTTTACATCTAGTAAATAAACTAAGTCTAACAATGTATTCTTCTGGATGTAGGCAATATTAAATTCATTTTTGATGTATGGTGATTATTCCTCAACGTTATTTGCCCACAATAATTCCTGACACGTATTTAGCACTTCATAGTTTATAAATCCAAACACACTTTCTCTTGTTTGATCCTCACAACAACCGGATGAGGCCAAAAGTACAAAAGTATTATTGTCATCATTTCGATGGATGAGAAAACTGAGGCTCAGACCTGCCCAAAGTCACACAACTAGAAAATGGCAGAGCTGAGGCTTAAGTCAGGGTCTTCTGACTCCAGAGAGGATTCTTTCCACTAAACTAATTGGTTTGGTTTTTTTGTTTTGTTTTGTTTTGTTTTTTAATATCATCGCAGATAGAATTCCTCTTTTCCCATGTTTGCTCTGGATTACCACCACCCAGCACCATCCCTGTCTGAACTTGGGGATCAGATGTGAGTGCTGGATAAGGCAGAAGTAGGTCTAGAAGGAAAATAAAGTTCACAACTCCTGCGGCCCTTCAAAGTCTTCCCAAATATTCCTAAGTTACACGTTCTGGTCCAGATCCTCTCCAATCAGAAACTAGACCATGACCATAAAGATTTGATATGGCTACAAGTTAACTTTTCTTTGTAGCATAATTTTCATAAGCAGAGTCTGAGCTTGGTTTCTTTTTTTCTGCTACTTAAACCTGCTTTTGTCATTTTTTTTTTTGCAGGAATACAAAGAATCTTACAGAAAGTAATTTATGTACCCGTAGCTTTTCTTGCCTCGTGTGGTCCTGCTCCTGTTTCCTTTGAAATTTCTTTAGAATAACATGCAATAACCAATACAACACAACCCACAATCCCTAGACTTAAGTTCTTACAGTATTCTAATGCTTTGGTAACCTGATCTTCTTTCCCAAATGAGAGACCATCTTCTTAATACCATTGTTGTAGGGGGTAGAGTAAACAGGGCACTGTGGCACTCAAAACCACAGTTTGGTGACTGACCATTCAGTCTGTCCCTGAAAAACTAGAAGCTTCTGTTCCTCACAATGAAACTTTATGACACAATAACATCCCAGTTATATCTGTTTTCTGAAACCCCACTCTGGATATCCATTTGTCCCAGTTTTAACTCTTATTTAAGTTTTTGACATTGAAGGAAATTTGTGGTCTTACCTTTGAATCCCCAAGGTATTTATTATTTCCTCCAATAGAATGAAAGCTTGAGATAAAGGGCTATTTTGTTTCTATAATTGTACCCTCAGCTCCCGCACAGTCCGTCTTTTTTGCTCATATCTGCATTCCTAGGACTTAGCACAGTGCCCAGCACACAGTTAAGTACTTAATAAATGCCTCTTGGTTTAACATTAAGAGCTGGGACATCAGGAAAGGCTTCGTACAATAGATGACATGAGCTAAGTAATGAAGGAAAATAAGGGTTCCAAAAGGCAGAGGGGAGAAAGGAGGGCACATTAGGCTTAGGGGCAACTAGTACAAAGACACATAGAAAGGATACGGCATGTAACCTATGTGGAAGAATTCTTATTCTAGGCTAGTTTGACTGGAACATATGGTGTTGAAAGAGAGTGTGCAACAAGGGTAGAAAAGTAGGTTGTGGACAAGTTATAAAGGTCCTTAAATTCCAAATAGAGAATTTTATATTTCATCCTATATTTGATCCAATAAAAATTCATTTGAATTGAGTAGAGGAGTCACATGGTCAGATTTACACTTGAGGACAATCACTATGACAACTGAATGAGGAACAGATTAGAGAGGGGAAATATTTGAGGCAGGGAGACTGCTTAGGAGATCACTACAATAGAATAAGTGAGAAGTGTTAATGGCCTGAACCAGAGTGTCAGATATGTGAATGGAGGAGAGAAGGCGGTAGATGCAGGAAATGAGGTAGTAAAAAAGGCAAGACCTGGCAATGAAGTAGATGTGTGGGATGGGGGAGAGTGAAGAGTAATGACTGTAAACATGCATGTGTATTTCCCTTGAGAGAAATGGGAAAAATTAGAAGGATAGGTTTGAGGAGAAAGATAATGAGTTCAGTTTTGGAGGAGCTGAGTTTGAAGTGTTAATTGTAAAATATCCAGCAGGCAGGTTGTGAGGGGGGATTGGAGCTCAAGAGAAAGACTAGAGATAAGTTTTAGAGTCATCACATAGAGATGATAATTAAACCCATGTAAGCTGATAAGACCACCAAATGAATGAGTATAGAGGGATGAGGGGTCAGAATAGAGCCCAGAGGTACCCTTTCCCTTAGTAAGAATGTCATGGATTATAATTCAGCAAAGAAACGGAAAGGGAACAGCTAGAAAGGCAGGAGGAAAACCAATAATCGGACAAAAAAAATAATTATTATCATAATACATTATCATAATATCACAAAAACCCAGAAAGGAGAGCATACACAAGAGGGAAGTGTGATCGACAGTGTCAAATTCTGTGGAGAATTCAAGAAGGATAAGAACTGAGAAAAGATTGTCAGCTTTGGCAATTAAGAGATCCCTGGTAACTGTGGAAAAGGTACTTTCAGTTGAGTGATGAGGTTGAAAGCCAGACTGCAGAGGATTTAATAAGTGAAAGAAGAAGTGGAGAGTAGACAGCTTTTTCAAGGAATTTGGTAGAAAAGAGAGGAGAGATATAACATGATATATTATGAGGATGATTGGTTTTACTGATGGACTTTTAAGGATGGAGATGGGGGTGGGGCACCGGGCGGGGAGAGGCATGTTTGTAGTCAACAGGGAATGAACAGTAGACTGGGAAGGATTGAAGGTTAGCCAGAGAGAGGGGATTATTGTGGGGCCATCTGCTAGAAAAAGCCTGGAAGTGAAAGGATCAAAGCTGCGTCTCAAGGGCTCAACCTGAGTTAGGAGAAGGGCCACTTTTTCATAGGAAACTGGAGTAGTTCTTGAGATTCTGAGTACACTGTTGCAGAAAGTGAGGTCAAAGGTGGAAGAACGCTAGCCAGCAGTTATGAAAGACATAAGAAAAATAAAGAAAAACAAACAAAAAAAAAGTACTCAGAGTTTGAACTTCCATCAGAAAACCACCAATTCACACTAAGATGTAAATGATTGATAAAGCCTTACCTTTTCCAGGGGGGTATTTATATTTTAATAGGGATAAAAGCCTAAACAAAATGGATCAAGCTCTACTGACAGAACTTTGACGTAAGTTGTCAGAAGAACAAGATACTGGGACTTTGTGGGTCCCTAAATGAAGACAGGCCTGATGATACCTTTAAACTACCACCACCACCACCACCACCACCACCACCGAAAGACTTTTTTTTCTCTCTCACCTCCCACCCCCATAATCTGTGTGTATTTTTAAACACATCATGAAGTTATCTGAATGTATAATCACTGTAATACATATATGCAGCTGTGTTTACTTCTACATGCACGGCCCTGTATCTCAGCCACATTGCTAAAATGCTAATGGAATGTAGTAGGGTGTGTGGGCACCAGCCTGAAATTCTTTAATGCTTATAACTTCATTATTTCCAGACCAAATAATTCCTTCCAACACATAAAGGAAAAATCTTCCTCGTGATAGCTCATCTCACATACCCCAAGGAGACTCATTCACACATGAAACTCCTCAGGGAGTTCATACTGGTTCTGTGTGTGGTGGGAAAATAAAAAGGGGCTGGGGGGCAGGGAGGAAAAGGGACATGGAAAAGAGAGATGAAAAAGAGAGCTCAGGGGCAGGCCATGGCGTGCTGCCATCAAAATGGCTCTATAGCATTAAAAGCCATTTTAAATTAGGAAGCTCTTGTCAGAACAACAATTACATCAGATACTCGTGAAATATTTATATTATTCATGGAGTACGGGTGGGAGGAAGGCTGACTAGTCCTAGTGAGGTGTCAGCTAACACAGAACAACCTGTTATTCTACTTCAGTGGACAGCTCTGGAGAAAGGAAAACACAAAGATTGAAA